GAGGCACACAAATGCACAAATGACTCGACCCATACATGTTGGGGGTCGCCTAAACGGTGGTGTGTTGACGACAAATGAAAACTTCATAATCGTTATTTTGAGGGAAGGTAAATCGAAGAACCCGCGAGCAGTGACTCATACCCTGGCCGTTACATTCCAACACCTGGCTGAACCGTTTGAATACGATTCACAGATGTCCCAACGGAATGGAGTCCGATTGAAGTTCATTGGAGTGTTGGATGATTTTCATTTGACTTCTGTAAAGCTGAGGGTCCTGTTAGAATTTAAGCGGATTCTTCATAACGTTTAAGGGCGTAAATTGGAGTCACGTCGTGTTCAGAGAACGACTCTCATCAGCCTGTGTTTGGTTAGTTATGTTACGTATTCAAGTGGCATTTCGGACGAAACCTCAGCGAATGAAAACGAAACTTCTTTGGGATCGAATTTAAAGTCTCCAATTAAACACAAACGATATATCTAAGTGATTTATGCGTGAATGTCTTGCTAGCTTGGCGTTCACATTCATAATGAAATCCATTACCCCGAACAGACGGAAAATGGCGGTATTCACACTTTCCCTGATTGTCCTAGCACTTATTAGCTTATAAAGTTCAACGGAATCGGCTGAATCCACTTAGAAGAAATTTCCTATTAAGGTGGTCTGAGTCCGAAAGGGAAGACTCCAAAATCTATTTATCCTTACGTTATGAACCCATAATTTACAAGTGTTAGTAATCCATACTAACGTGTGACGAATTCAACATTCAGCATTCAGTAACTCTGCTAGTTACAAATGATCTAATCGCTTGGTTCTCCGTTCAGCTTAAAATTCGGTCGATCTGGTAAACTGTTCACCACGCCAGGTGAAGTTTCTGTATCAAAGACAAACACATCCCCCGAGTGTTCACTAAATCCTTCTGAAGCAAGAAGTTGATTTTTCGTGAGGGAAACTACTCACAAGGTTGATGAACACTCTTCGACCGACCGAGTAGTTTCCTTCATGAAAAATGCTGCGACATCTTGAAAATCGTGCCAAATGAAACATAAGGCGGCCTGTATACAGTAGTTGCAGAGTATCATAAACGAGAAATTCGGTTGAATCTCTTGTGAAAACCAAACTGACTTGCAAATATGTGTATTTCTCGAAGAAGTTGTGTTCTTTCAAAAACTGTCGGTAGACGAAACCCATTTTTCAGGGAAACAGTATAGGTCTTGTTGCTGTTCTTCTTCTGTGCGCTACTCACGCTGTTATGAAAATGGATCACGATGGAACCTTACAAGAGAGATAAACACACGCTCCTAATCATACGGCATATTCATACTTTGTCAAACCTAGTTGGTGTTAACAGTTCTAAACGTCTACTGAAGGTAGTCTGAACTGTTTGGAAGAGTCGTCGTGCGATAATGGGCTACGCTTCCATATATCTGATAAGTCTTCATGTACCATAGAAAAAGTCTTCTGTTTAATGACGTTTTACACAATATTTTGCTACAGGCTCTATTCTGTCAAACACTATGTGCCTACATAGTTCAAAAAGATCTACAATAGTCCATCACGCAAATGGTAGTAGGTTTTATAACTCAATAAAAGACGGGTGCTCAGTATTCGCACAATGGAATTGAATTTTCGAAAGCTATGACGTGTCTCTGATAGACCGAAGCAATTGGGTAATTGAGTTCAGCGTACCAGTCCAAACTTTTGAGCCCCATTTAGGCATCCCGGAGTTTCAGCGATGCTGGGAAATTATCCCAAAAGACTTCTCAGCTAGAGGCATGGTTGCTTCAGTGAACAGTGAAACGTGATGAGCTGTAAAAATATGAACGTTGATTAGGACGGTTTTTGGCTTGAGCACATACGCAGCAAAATGCAACATTTTGGCGAGGAAAGTTTTACTCCACTTGGAAAGATTTTGCAGCTGAGAGCATTGTGCGAAAAATGGGCACCTAAAAGACGCTGCTTGTGGCGTCTCTTTTCGGCAGACTGTACAGTTTCGAGGACTTCTTCCACTCCTACAACTCGTCAGTATCGTTAGCTTTTTTCGCCAACAACATAGTGTAGTAATGCCACATCTGCTGGCGACCAAGCCTTCCAACATCAGACAGACTACTTTTTGGACAGTGTACATCCACAATATCACCGTTTGTGGCAGTAGAGGATACTTGTAGAAGTCATTGGGGGAATGCTAAATTTTCATGATTACCATGGAGACAGATACGGCATTATGTTAGAATAAACAGTGGTTATATGCACCTTCGATTACATGTAAACGTTTACTAGTGAAGGGAGCAACAATGGATCAGTGGAGGTCGCTCAATGAATCAAATTTAGTCGATACCATATTTGAGTGTACAACTAAACAGTTTTTCAAGTTAATACACATCCAAACGTTTCACAGGCTTTTTCGGTGCGCAGAGTTCTGGCTACGTAGAATGACTTCTGGTAGCTATTGAATGGGAAGAAAAAGCGTCTGATGAAAAGTCGAACCTGTAATCTAAGGAAAGAACATAAGATTTTTAAGTAATCAGCAGCGTGGACGACGGCACACATCCGGATATGGGGTGACTTAAGCAGAGTTTGTTTTTTACCGACATACTGTGCGCCTAATCTAGTTATCCATTCAGTCTGCACGCACTTTTGGCGACCGATTTTAATTACGCTAGTGTAACATTGACAAGACAAAACCTTGACGTACTGAGGAGACCCTTCAGATTGCACATGAATTGTTCCCGGTGTTGGCGTATTTGGTCACCTGCAGTGGGACTGTCATATTGGCCTCTCGAGTTTGTCGTATCCTCTGTTCTGTTGTGCATATTAGGATCGACTGCGGTTCGGGCTGGATGACAGGTTTTCTGCCACCTCCCGCGTAAATGAATCAGGGTCATCGCCGAAAATAACGATCGTCCGTTGCCATGTGGACTTTCCTGTTAAGTATTGGAAAAGGCAGTCACAAAATATGGAAGGAAATACGCTCAATCAACTTATGTTTTCCTGTAAACGATATAATGGCGCTCAGTTTTCGCACAATGAAAGCTACGACGTGTCTCTGCTAGATTAAAGCAATCGGCCAATTGGGTTTAGAGTACCACTCCAAACTTTTGAGCCCCATTACGGCATCTCGGGGTCTCAGTGATGCTGGGAACTTATTCCACCAGACTTTTCTGCCAGAGTTATGATTTCTTCGGTGGACAATGAAATTTGGTGAGTTGCGAAAATATGAATGTAGATTAGAGCACATACGCAACAAAATGCAACATTTTGGCGCAAAAGGTCTTACTCCACTCGTAAAGGTTTTGCAGTTAAGAGCATTGAGCGGCTGATGAGCCCCCGATATAATGAAAGGCTGGTTCGAATAAGGGGTCAGCTTTGATTTGTCATGGCGACCGGGACCAACAGCCATTTTGGATTATGCGTGGGCGATGGGGAGAACAAGTAACATACAACATTCAGCAGCTTCGTTTCACTCAGAGGGAAAACTACACGATCAGGGTGAATCCTTCAGTAGACAGGTGCTTTGAATTAAACTACTATTTGGACGGATTACTGTGGCATTCTGTATTTGTCAATCAAATCATATGTCAATGTACCTAAACAGTATTTAACATGCCACCCGAGTTTTTGCTGATTTGAAGACTCAGTAAAACCTTCCAAAAAGTCCAGAAAGTGGTCGCCTTTACCACTAGCATTCTTAACAGACAGCAACTGCAGGACAGGCTTACTTTTCAGAAAAATACAACCAATTTTCCTGTTCCTGCGCAGTAAGATATACGGGCTCATCAACCAGACATTTGCTGTTACCATTTCAGGACCTTTAGACAGTTGCGAAATATTTCAGTAAGATTTTCTAAATCACCAAACGCGAAGTTACAGCCGAGACGGTGTGAAGTTACAGTCTTAAGAGATGTGGACCTCTTCGAGTCTCACGCTACAGACTGAAAAATCGTTTGAGAAAGCCTTTCTTAAGTTTCAGTCGAGACATCGAAAAGCACTCACATGTCACTTAGAATTCGTATCCATACACTGCTAGATAAATTGCAAAGGGAAAAAACACGAGCAGCAATCCAACTGAGTTTGTGGCAGATTTCGGTGAAATACCAGAACGCATGGTGACGCACTGGTGGCGGTTCACTTGAAGTCTGCTTGTGAATAAAGGGTATCTTACGGATAATACAACAGCCTTTAAGCCTGATAAGGAGAGTTCAAAGAATGTCAGCCGCAGCTAGATAATCGCGTCCTAACCTCCTGTCTCTTTCAAGTAGTTCATTGGGTTAACCTTACGCTTTACCCGGTCGATTCAATCCTTGTGTGTTAGAGCCCGCAATCTTGGAAAGACAACCTATGTTCTGCAGGGAAGATAATTACTAAGCCTACTTAAGAACACTTGGAAACATGGAAGCATGCAGACGGCAACGGCCAGTGTCGACTCCTAAACGGAATCAATGCTGAGTTTGGATGACAATTTTGGCTTGCACCATAGAACGTGGACTTCTTGTAGTTGAATTGGCTGTCAGCGATGGAGTCGTAAAGGTATTGAAAGACACTCGTTCTGAGTCGATATAGGGTGAGTGATTCACCACAAATACTTCGACGTAAAATGGCATGGCGGGACACTGATGTAACTGCATAGGCTACTAATGAAACGCGTGAGTAATATCTGTTAAAAGAAGTTTAAGGCGCCATCCCTTCATCTAATCGAGGCTGAGTCGAGTGTGTTTGGTTAGTTATGTTACTTATTCAAGTGGCATTTCGGGAAGCCTGAAAGTAAGCATGAAAATGTTGATTTTCCTAAACTCATTGCAAATGAGGGTTTTACTTTTTTCGTTCTGCCGGTAATTTACAGAAAACCACTGCGTTTGCTGGAGTCATCTTAGCTGATAGTATGAGGTGTGACATTAGGGATCCATATACCTGGAGTCCTGTCTGTGTTGGTACTGAGTAGTCAAATGCTGATAGAGTACCTCAAGCCTACTTTTCCCTTTTTTACTTCCCATTTTCCCTTCAGGCGGCATACTTCTCACGTCCTTCAGTTGGGCTAGCCGGATTTGGAAAGTTTTTCCGCAAGGCGGCCGATGAAGAGGTGGAACATGCCAGAAAATTCACAGAATTTGTCAACCGACGAGGAGGCGTTGTCACGTTGAAGCATATTATGGTAATTAGCTTGCTTTTCGAGATTTGTTTTTTGGTGCAGTAACACTAAGCTACCAACAAGTGATAAGTGCCAAGATCAATAAAGTAGCTTGGTAGGACGAAGGATACCTCATATTTCCCGCACCTTGTTATTCAAACAATTGAAGTCTCAGGTATTGACCGTTTTGGTGGTTTTCTGTAAAAGGACAGTTGAAAAGAACGGCCGAATAAAAAACCGCAACAAGCTGATGGGCCCTCGAATTCATCCTGTTGGATAGTTGCGAGATTGGACAATATCTCAGTTGGTTCACTTCCGTTCCATTCATCCTCCTCATCCCCTTCCAAGGATATTCTGACTAGGATGCGACATACTTTTTCATGGTGAAACTTTTTACAGCTTTTCCTGAAATCTTGGATAAAGCTCTTATGATCATCCGACTAAAAATTAAACTGGACGCTTAAAAACATGATAAACGAGAGATTCATCTGGTATCCAGACGAGTCTCCCGTCAAAACCGAATTCGTCAGCAAATGAGTGTATTTCGTTAAAGTGGACGCCATTCACTGAAGCTTATCAAAAGTGGCAACCTAAAGGCTTCCCACTGCAAGAAAGTCAGGCATAAAAGCTCGCTGTAAAAGCCTGGAACTTTTGAGACTGAAAATCACAACCAAACTTCCACTAGCTTTGATCCACTGAAACAAACATGTCTTGCGAATTGCTGCTTGTCGAACCTTTCGTTATGTAGGTGATAACATCGGGACATTCAGTTGAGCGCCATTGCCGAAGACAGAGTTCTTTCCGTTTGAGATTCTCTACTTTATACCTGGTACTTGAACGATCACAACACACAATTTGGAGAACACTGGTAATAAGTCAGGTGGAAACTTTTCCGCCTCATCCAGAGAAGAGAGCAAATGGCCCTCGAGCCTCAAATGCCTCAATCGCATTTGACGACAGACTGACTCCTATTGATAGTATCCGTGTGTTTTGTGCTGCAGTAACCAATACTGACTGACATTCAATTAGTTCCTTGTAACTATAGTTTATAAATGCATATGTACACGCAATTGCACTAGTGCATGCACACACGTGCTCCACAAGCGGCTTCAAATTAAGCACACAATCACGTCTGGATTTCTGGGCGTGATTTGAGCCCGATAAGTTGTAAACATGCTCCCGTTTCATCCATTCGTCGGTTACAGAAGCGCGAAAATACGCGTTAAATTCTACAGGATAGACTTATCCCAGCGCGACCCCTTATGCTGCAGATCACACGGACACAGGCGAGAAGGAGACATGGAGAGTTTTCTCTAGTTCTTTAGTCCCGAAAAACATATACTAATCACCATGATGGAGGCCAGCATCCAATTTAAAAGCATCCATGCTGATGAAGACTGAGTATAGCAACTGGTCGCGCAGTGTCTTAAAGAAAATCATGCCTGATTTTTAATGATAGCTTATATTCACCTTCTTAACCAGTTACACGGAGTCATGTCCTTTGGCAAACTTGGACGGTGTGTTCATGTGCCGCTGATACGATGTCAACGTATGAATTCCCCATGCAAGTGAAATCAAGTTGTAGAATACTCGAGACACATGACCAATACATAAAAATCACCGGAGCCACTGAGGCAATTTTTCAAATGTTACAATGTTTCGAAAGCGGAATCCCTACCCTGTCTACCCTGAGATTCATATTTTGATATCTGAAACGTTACCACGTACCCGTTGGACATGTTTCTCCGTACAATTCACCAATTCAGACTTTTCTTATACGGGCTTATTCTGAGACCCTGATGCTCTGGCCTTCAGACTACAGTACTGTATACGAGAAATTCAGGCTAAGTTGTTTTGGTCCCAGAACCACATAGATCACCCCACGAATGAAACGAGTGAACAACAGACAAGAACCAACGTCTTCATATAAATTCATCAGATGGGCATCCTTGGTTGTTGAAATACAGTGCTTATATGGTTGGTCTTTGTTTGCTCTATTTATACCTCTTCTTTGGGTGACTAAGAACCCAGTACAGAAGTTGTCGACAGATGGGTGAGGGGTTGTGCAATATTTGTTCATCTGTTTTATGGTGTCTCATTTCCTAATGTTCATTACTGTTTTCAGCCAACTCCAGAGTCAACTCCGCAATCGTTTACATCCGTCAAGCAGGCCATCGCTCTAGCGATCGATAAAGAAATCGAAGTTGGCAGGAAAATCCACACAATGCATATGGTTGCTGGAGAAAACAAGGATTCAGAGGTAGGTGGCTTGCACTAACAGAGTGAATGAATCGAGTTAATAGAAGCCAAGGACTATCGTACAGACGTTCTCTTCAATTCCATTCCCTTTGGCTTTTTTAACATTCCGCATCTATCTGGGGCACTCAGCTTTCAATACCGCTGAGTAGACTGAGGAAACACGATCACTTTTTTGTCTATCTGTCATTTAGCTGATCCATGCGATCGGCATCGACGAGACCATGGCAACTCACGTGATCGTCTCGCCGACGTGCATGCGTCCGTTGGTTCCGCCGCATACCGTAGGAACAAGGAAACAATGGAATATGCAGTGTCAGTAATGGCAGTCTCACTAGTGTATCAGCTTGAGTCTGTTCCACCAAGGATGGATGCCAATAGTAGTTAGTGTTGTCATTAGAACTAGCGTCGTAACATCGATATCACACAGGTGCAGCAAATACTAGACATCCTGTGAGGGCCGTGAGAATTTAAGGATAACATTTGACTGCTCTCAGACAACCCGATTTCTGGACAATTTCACCGTATGAGCTGCGCCAAGATCGTTACTTCCGACCTGCAGCTTACATGTCAATATTTCTCGAGCAGCACCGCGTCCTTTCTTGTTGAGACTGCCTACTTTAAAACGAATCATTTATAGGCTCGGAAAAGTTTGGTAACAATCGGTACATTTATTGCTGGGCAGGGTTTCGCTTTTGACACGAAAGCTTCGTCGATTCCAAGTGCCAGGGTAAGAAGCTGGTCGATATTTAAGGTGCAAGGAGGACCAATCAGCTAATTCAAGCTAAATCTCTATTAGGTGTCGGCCGAGGGATATTGTGTGTTGGGCTGGGTCCCCAAGTATTGGGCCGATGGGAAACCTACATGGAATTGGGTCCTGTCTAGGGTCTGGTTCTTCTGTTTCGGTCCCCTTGATGACCCCTCTTGAAGGTCATTTGCACTTCCTGTCCGTCTACGTGGATGAGCAAGCGCTACGATAGTTGTATAGGAAAGAGGGATACCGTGAACTTTGGTCGGGTTGGGATTTCCAACCCCTTACTGTTGCTAATGGTTCTCCGTGCATTGACAACCACACAAACTGATCGAGATCCAAACACACTCTTATGTCCTCAAATATTTCATCCACCGAGAGCTGTGTCCGTTCCCCCAGTGTCGTGTCTGCCAGTAACAACCTCTTAGTTATCTCCAGAGCATCTGCCCAAGGGATGTTTGTGTACACTGAGATTGTCAAATCTGCCAGTACCTCTTAGTTATCTCCAGAGCATCTGCCCAAGGGATGTTTGTGTACACTGAGATTGTCAAAACTCACGAGAACTCCAAAGGAAGCCCTGCGACCTTGCTGGCAAACTTGTACGGATTCCTAATGAAGGTGCTTGATTTCCTCGTGAGCGGTTTTAGTATACCAGCTAAGAATCTGGCCAGTTCATATGATGGTTAGCCTATAACACCCACTATTAGCCTTACTGGGGAATCCGCTTTATGGATTTTCGGCAGTCCATAGAGTCGCGGTTGAATAGCACTTTTTTGGAAACAACCCACACCACTTACCTTGCCCTAAATGGTTTATTATGGATCTTAAATGTCTACCAGCTTCAGCCTTACTCTTATTCATTATTGAACCACTACTGCTACGGGTAATTTGTCGGTAGGGTTCATCGGCAAGGTCTTGCCTGACCTTTTGAAGATTGTCGTTCTTGTTCATTACTGCTGTGGCTTTAAATTTATCGACCTTGGTAATGACAATACTATCTACCCGTTTCAGTGTGTTTGACGCTCTCCGTTCTGATGGATCTCACAGGTCGATATTTCCCGAGTAGCCACACTTTCTTTTTTGTTGAGAATGCCTTCATTTAAAACGAATCAATTATAGGTTTACCTTGTTTTAGGTAGACGTTACGTTTTTCTTGGTTGATACAAGTTTAAAATGTGCAAGATACACGCATTGTTTGATGACCACCTTTCGTTGGACAGCGAAATATCAAAGTTTTGTGTCGAGGGTTGTGAGTTCCAGTCTCCCAAGAGTCTTGTGAGCTGCATACTGTTGATGATTCCCAATAAAAGATGAAACATCTTTTTCGTGATTCCCAGCCTTTCCTCATAGTTAGATATATCTTGTGGAAAAGAAGTCGCTGAATGTCGTAATGGTCATCACAACATGCTAAATATGGTAGTTCCCGAGTGCATTACTAAGCCGTTGGTTTGTTTTCCATGCGGATGCTGTCTCTTCGATGGTTGTTGCAATCCAACTTCCAAGCTCCGCGAACAAATCAACAACCAAGTTATGAGAACGTTCACTGTTCCACTGCAGATAGGTATAGACTATCCTCGTTCTTTCGATCTACACATTGGCTTTCAACTGAGTGTTGATGGTTAACCGGTCAGTGTTGTTCTACACGCGGTCGCGTCTGTCATGTAATATGATCTAGAGGCACACCAGTGGTCCTCTCCTGACCGCACTAAGCGGGTTGCACAACTACTGACGAGTGAATAAACAATAAGCCTATTGCAACTGTCTTCTCAGATTGTTGGTACAAAGATTAAGGTTCCAACTACCCAACCAGGAGAAAGTTGAACAATGCCAACAAACCACTCGCATTTCTTTTGGTTAGTCTTTTCTAGAAAAATACTTTTTGACCGCATATCTGGTTTAGTTCGGGGAGCTTCATCTGTTTGGTTGTAAACGCGTGAACCAAAGATAATTCCCGAATTTACGGTTGAGATTAGCCATAAACTAGCACTCAGCTGGTTAGAATGACGCTACATCCCAACGTGCCTTATAAACTGTCCGAGAGATTCTAGATTCCATCTTCAGTGCTGTTCTCTTCCTTAGTTCCCCATTCTTTGACCAATCAGTGAATGCACCGTTTATTGAATGACCTTGAACCGTCTTCACTAGTGGATTGTCTAAGTGTTCTTGATGATACAGAACCCTGTTCGAAAAATATCAAGAGCAACTGGGCGTAGTGTTTCAAGGTAGCTCGAGGTCTTAACCGAAGGTTTGTCAGTGGTACACTACTTAGCAAATAGCTGTTACAAATGACGAGAAATGCACCCTATTTTTAATTTATTTTGCGTCAGGCCCAGAATTTCTTGGATCCTTTTCTGACGGAGCAAGTTGAATCGATTAGCAAGTTGCGCTCGATGGCTGCCCGCATGGAATTGTGTGACAGTGCAATCTTCTTGATGGACCAGGAACTGCGTTAGACTTCTGTCGACACACTTGATTTGGTGTACATGATCCATTTCAACATCTCCATTCCGCATCCCTCCGTCAACGTTCATGACGAATAGCATTAGCACGGATGTTCATACACATCATCTCCGAGCACATCATAAATCCACTTTACATCATAAATTTGCTCTTCAAAAAGTTATTAATAACCCCTTTGGTCTTTATGGTCAATCTGGTGGGAGCCATATGTTTCTATATTTGAAGTTTCCTCGAAAGGAAGACTGAATTCACTTGAACGATATATTTCTCACTATTTTCACGCAAAAAACCTCCGCGTACATCTCAGGAGTCTTTTGATTTGTGCGATTCTCACTTCCGTTATCGTTCGTGGCTTTACTCAAGAAAACGGTTTTGAAAACTAGTTTGGTATGAGTGTATCCCGGCGAAGGAAGCAAACTCTGTGAAAAAATGATCGGAAACCTCGCACAGTTGAACACTCACCTGCAAATGAAGATGTTATTACTGGTATTCTCGAATGTATCCCTGGTTCATGTATATGCTTCACAAAGACTACATCCAGTTGGGCCGATATTCAAAATCTCGAAGCAGTATCCCTTGATCCACTATCAAGTATAAGCAGGGACCAGTGCTTCCCAAGCTAAAAAGTTCTATTTTCAACGTTTCAAAGTGATCAATTCCACCTTTTCCTGCGTGATATTCTCGGCTCATTCCGGATTTCTCGTTAACCAGAACTATGGGTTTTGCGCTCCCATTAAACGCCGTAAATTATCACGACGACGGTATAGTACTCGCTTTATATTGCAACTCAGGAAAAAAGGTGAATTACATAATGTTTCATACAACCAAGCAACTCACGTCATTTCTTGCCACGTAAACCTGTGTGGTTATGTGTACATGTGTGGAAAGCTATCGATTGAAAACGGTCTTTCATAAAACGTATTTTTTTGACTCAAAAAGAAGAACCACTAGGTGAAAAAGTAACTAATAAATTACCTACTCCAAATTCTCATGTTTGTTGGCAGTTCAGTTAGACAGGTCACATAATCTGCACCAGTCTGAAGCACATCATCAAATGAATGCGGAATTTTATTGGGCCGAGAGGCTAAGCAGAAACTGGACCAGGAGCTAGCAGGTTACTTCTCGGTTCACACAATGTCGGACGCAATAAGAATAGTCTATTGCGCAATAGTTGGCAAATAATCAGCTGTTAGACAAAATTCGGGTATAATAACTCACCAAAAAGCGATGTCGTTCCTCTCACCGTTATGTTAAGTGTTTGGGCAATTAAACCCACAGACTAACGGTCCAATTATGTTTTGTCACATCAGAGTTCCAAGGTCAGTGTACCTCCCCATCAGCACAATTCAACTTTCCTTTGCTGATTCCTCATAGTTTTGTGTCCATACAGGTGGGTCATATGGGGTAACCAGTCAGCCAATTACGAACGGCAAAGGTGTGAATACCCTGGGTATATTAAAAACAAAGTACTTCATGTTAGGGGGATCGTCTTTATACTACGTTTTTCGCTGAGCTGTTGTTAAGCTTGTGATGTCACTGGAAATGACGTTCCATGGCCACAGTTGTGAGAATTTGAGTACTGACAGGCACTAGTCAACCGCGTATGCGTCCTATGAGTACTGTCAGTCACCATGTCACGCTGGGAACACACTGCAGATCCCAAGTAATTATTTGTCCCCTTCTGGGTTTACAATCATGCGTTATCCGTTCGGCGTGTTGTTGGTTTTAGAACCGTCCCTCTTTATCGTTTGGTCTTATTCTGTCGGTCCACACAGGATATACGGGACGTTCAGTCGATTGCACACGTGGCTCGGCAAAAATCGCACGTGACACCACCTACTAAGCATATGGGTCGATCGGCTTAGTTCGACGTAGCATGCAAGTCCGGGAACGAATGCCAGCCCACCAGACTTAGTAAACACTGAGTATTTTTATACTGAGCATCTTGAGGTCTGAAGTAGCTCACACAGTTAAAATCCTTTAGGATGTGATACCTTGAGCGTGTACTCTGATTCGACAGCCCGTTGGCTGAACCTCTAGTGGGTGACTAAGTGCCCTTTAGTTGGCATAACTCGGTCGGTCTACTCAAGCTAGGAGACTGACAATCACTGAAGCCGGATCGTCGTGGAAAAAATCAATGGGCACGCACTACTGTACACATTTTAAGTAGCTCGTGTGCTGCCGACAAATCGATGATGAACCAGTACTCCGCCCGTCTTTCAGATCAATGCGCACCCTTGAGAAAACTATAGAAAAGAGCTTTCATAGTGGCCAGTGATATTTCCGCAGTTCTTCAGCATCAGTCTGCTCAAGCTGTTATTCAAATGGTTCAGTTGGCTAAATTTGTCTTTGTATCCATATCACCCATTTGGAATGCGTCCGCTTGGGTGCAATTAATCTGTCTGGAGTTCGCTGAATGACGCTATCATCAAAACAGATATAAGGCTGATCTAAAAAATCACATCGAGATACCAGATACAACCTCTTAACCACTAGGACTTCATGTCGACCGGTACCGCGGACCAGTCGCACGCCTCTGCTAAATCTAGCCACCTAGTTGCGCTAAGTGGCCAATGATACTCACCTGCTCTTAAGGTATCCGTTCTAAACAGGCTGGTGATCAAAGGTGGAGATTAACAGGCATTTGAAAAATTAGTCCGTGTTAAGTGGACAGTTAGTAAATCGCCCCTTTCGAGATTCTTCAACTAAATGTGCCATACAAAAGCCATCCCATGCTTCAGTTCGAACGATATTCGAGGTGTTGAAGCAATTCCTCCGACATGACGTAAAAGATGATCAAATCACCATCCCTGAACCTGCCCTTTCAAAGGTTCATTCGATAAGTCTGGTTAATTGGTCGTTCAAACTGAATAATGAGGCAACCTTTGTGGAGAAAAACCAGACGGATATCGTAAACGTGAGATCCGTTTGGATCATCCGCTACCATCATCGCAATTTGCAGGCAATGGTTTGTCGCCACGTACGACTAACTTACTGTTAAGATACGAGATAGGATCGACGGAAAGTAGAGGGGTTGGCTTACCCAGTGTGTCCTAAACGGAGCGAAACCGGAAGTAGTCTGCCCGAAAAGTTTCAACATCATTATGAGTCGTGTAATGAAACGGTTATTGCCCAGTTTATGGCACAACAGTATAACAGGGACGATGAGGACTTACTGGTAGTAAGAACTATTGATGTATACTGAAAACATCACCGACAGTCAACAGTTTCATGGGTGACACTCGAAGAAGCCTCTGAACATATGGTAATGACCTTGGCTTGTTGGACTCAAGCAATCTTTCGCTGTGCAGTGTCCCTGATATGTATATTCATTTCGCCGTGCAAAAAACCTCGTCCGCATTAGTGCCTATCACCTATTGGGTGATTGGATGAATGAATAATCCTATATGTACTTGACACAGTCATCATATTTTTACTTTGCCATTGAGTGTGGTTGATGCTTATTCTGGCAACTTGGAGGTTGAAGCTTTAAGGCGCGACTCTAGGTCGAAGTGAGAACAAGTATTCAGCCGGAATTACGTATCCAAGTAATTCTGCTGCAGTTTTTTCGTCTGGTGTACCCTACAATATAAGCCTCAACCAGAGTTCTTATTCCATTGATGCGCACCGGGCAGCACGCAGGAGATGCACACATTAGCCAAAGACAGTGGAGTTATCATGGTGTTTAGGTAGGTTTTTTTGCGGGATGCATAATATAGGTGGCAACCAATCTAACTAGCCGTCTTCGGGTCGAACAGCACTCGTGCTCTCAGAGTACATCATCATCATCAATGACAGCAACATCAGTGTTGGCACTGATGCTTCACTG